CTAAGTTTCCTCAGAAGCTTCAAGCTTGCTGTATGGGTGGTAAGGTTGCTCCAGGATATAAGTGCGCATTTTTACATTGGGACCAGTGCGCAAGGGGGTATTGTTGTAGTGACATGATATGTAGCCCGTGCTAGCTCAATTGTCCTCTTCTGAATCCCGCTTGGTTTAACGTCCTGCCCGCTCGTATGATAACCTGCGCGCTCATTTTAAAGTCGCGTTCGCCGGGTCTGTCCGCCCGGCGCGGCCCCAGCGAAGCGAGATTGGCAGCGCGAGATGGGGGAAGCGAACCGTAAGGGCAACAACAAAAAAGATGGCCCCAAGGCGTCGCGAGAAGGCGCCAAGACGCTTCAAGGTGCCTCCCACAGGCCTATCAAAATGCCCCAAAGAGGGCAACACATTCCAATTCCTTTGGGAACGTACATTTTTAGCAGAAACACCTTTTCGCTTTTCCGACGATCCAAACAGTCCAAGAAGCCCCGAAGACCGCCTTAACGCAGCCCATGAGGGCCCAACAGACCCCAAGACAACCCAAGAGGGACCCAAGACGGCTCAGGAGACGCCCAAGATGGCTCAAGAGGGCCCCAAGACGGCCCCCAATCGGCCGAGGCGTTCCTCATGACCTGGCAACGGCTCTTCTCAGGGAGGTGTCGGGCATGCAATGTTCCATGGAGTTATCGGGCTCGGAACCTTCTTGCCGCTTCGACTTGGAGCGGGGGGGGAAACAAGGTGGCCCGGAGACTCCAGCAGTATTTCATATGATGCTCGAGTGGGCCTGCGCTGACTTACAGTCCAAATGGGCAGCTGAGGGTAGAGGATTCTGCTTGGACCCGGACGCCCGCCAATACATCACTCACTTGATTTGGGCGGACAACACATATCTACTAGCATGTTCTATTGCGGAGTTTACGTGTATGCCTCGGGAGCTTACCGATACTATCTCGAACATGGGCTTCCGATGGAAGGCGTCTTCCCTTACATGCATGGTGTGTGGGACGATGCGCGGCGTGCCTTCGGAGGCGCCCGTTGTGGAGGCAATTGACAAGCAGGCTTACCAGCTTGTCGACACCATGGAGGTCCTGGGATTCATGCTTAGCCAGGAAGGGGGACACCATTACCAGTGTCGAGCATCGTCTGGGCAAGGCTGAGGGGAAGTATTGGAGCAACGCTGGCACGTACAAGGCGAAGGGCTCTACAGCGTCAAAAATGAAAGCGTGGTCCACTGGTCCGGAAGCCAGTGTGGCTCACGGGTCGTCGACGTGGCATCTAGCTCAAAACGTTATGCAGCGATTGCGACGATGGGAATTGTCATTTCTCCGGAAGATGTTCGGATTCCGCCGCAGGCCGGGAGAGGGGCAAGCTGCGTTCATGATTCGCACGGCTCGTCTGTTGGAGCGGTGGTTTCGCGTGACCGGTTCTTGCCCCTTTCATCTTCGAGTGCTCCGGGATGTCTTCGAGGCGGCATGGCGGGAGCAACGCCTCGCCCCTCACGACGGTGCGAACGACTTCTTGTCTACTGCAAGGCAAGCAAGGAGCCGATTGTGGTGGGAGACAGCCAAGCACGTATGCAGCCGGAAACGTAGACGGAAGGAGGGCATCGTCCATTCAGGGTATGGCCACCGCGTTGAATGGGAAGACGTGTTAGTACAAGTTTACGGGGAGCAGTGCCACGAGAAATGCGACGCCTGTTCAACGATGGGTGAATGGATGTCCTTGTATCCCGAATTTGAGAAGTATATTTGCGGAGAGTGGGGGCTTGCAGGCGCTGGCGACAGACCAGGAAAGCCGTGCGTGGGCGAAGCGCCAGAGGACCTCGGCGTATCCCCTGGAGTTGTTTCCTATCTCTCATGGGGGCGGCGCCCCAGAAATACCATGGGAGAGCGTGCCTGGGCGGTTTGCTTTTGTTACAGATTGCCAGCCTTTGTCAGCAGTGGTGAACGGCTTGACCGTTCTGACCAACGGAAGCCTCGAGCCAATCTTGAGCCGAATAACACAACATTTTCTCACTGTTGGAACGGGGGTGGAAGCCGGCTAGGGATATAGATGATGCCGTTGTTTGGCGGCCGCGCGCTTATAATAAATTCGCCAACCATTTAGTCAACCACACCATGGAAGAACGCAGCTCTTGGGCGAAAGCTTTCCCAGACAGTGCCGAGCTGTCCTGTGCTGCGAATTTCCTCGTGCAGTCTGACGATGGTACTCGCGCCGGGCAGTGCTCCGCGGCCGCGTGGTGCATCGAAGACGTTACTGTTTGTGGTCAGAGCACAACGCGGTCCTTTGTAATTCAGGCTGGAACGTTTATGTCTGACCCTGTATCTTCATTTCTAGCAGGAACCATCGCCATGGACGAGGCTGTTCAGGCGTTGGCTCAAATACTGTCCTTTCGTGCGCGGCCGTTGCGAGGTGCCTTGGCACCTCACGAGTGACTTAGGCTTTGTCGTAAAAGAAAGAAGGGGCCCACACGGGGGATCCGAACGGACTTTCTGGGCCCTCGGCCCCGAGAGGCCCCCAGGAGGCCCCAAGAGGCGCCCGGGAGGCCCCCAAGGGGCCTCCAAGAGGCTCCCGAGGGGCCCCACAAGAGCCCCCCAAACGGCCACCAAGAGGCACTGAACCGGGCCCCGAGAGCTTCGGAACTGCTTCCAGGAGGCCCCCAAGAGACCTGCCACGAGATCCGAACGAACTGTTCAGATGCTTCAGTGAGGAGCGCCAGACGCCTCCAGGACGACCCCGGATGGCCAGTTGTCGTCGCCGAGTTCGTTCGTCGTCGTCGTCGTCGTCGTCGTCGTCGTCGTCGTCGTCGTCGTCGTCGTCGTCGTCGTCGTGCGGAGGTGACATGACCACTTCAGCTTATGACGTCTCAGAGTCCACAGTTTACGAGGATGTCATAGGCGAGCGTGGTTGGACCACCATATGACAGGGCATGAGGTCAGAGTTGCAAGGATATCTCAGGCCAGTGTGTCCTGACCACCTCAGCTCAGGGCATCTCGGAATCCAGGGTTCCCCGGATGTCCCAGGCGAAAGTGGCCGAGCCACCATGGAGCGTGGTATCTCCTAGGTCAGAGTTGCGAGGATGTCTGAGGCGACAGTGGACTGACCACCCCAGCTCAGGGCCTCTCGGAACCCAGAGTTTCGAGGATGTCCCAGGCGAAAGCGGCCGGACCACCAGGGGGAACGTAAGAACGGCCCAAGACGCTCCCAAGCAGTCCCAAACACCATGTGGACGGCTTTCCACGCTCCCAGGAGGCCTCCATAAGACCCCCATTGAGGTCCGACAGGTGCCCTGGTAAAGCCCGAAGAGGCCCAAATCGTAGATTTTGATTTTCTGTGTTTTGTGACATCGCGTTTTCGAGCTTCCAACAGTCCAAGACCACCCCAAGACCGCCCAAGAGATCCCCAGGACGGGTCCTAGACGGGCCAAGACACCCCCAAAATTGCCGAAGAGGCGCCCGGTACCGCGCCCCCCGGCCTCCCTGGGAGTTCCCAAAACGCTCCAGGACGCCCCTAAGACAGCCCCAAGAACCCCTCATAATGCAAAAGAACAGCCGAAGATGCTTTCAAGCAGTCAAAAACAGTCTGCTGACGGCTCTCCAGACTTCCGGGAGGCCTCCAGACGCCTCCAAGACATTGCATGATAATTCCGAGAGACGCCCCGAGGGAACCCAAAGATGGTAAAATCGTCGATTTCCAATTGTTCCTCCCATGGTTTTCGCCTTCTCACGTTTTCCCTTTTCAAGCCTTCGAAAATCGAGGAGTTGAAAAAAAGGGAATTCCCAGATTTGTTGTTTGTTTGTTTGTTGTTGTTTGTTTTTTTGTTGTTGTTTTTTTGGAAGTGGACTCCTACTCGGAGATCCCACACATCCTCTGACGTCTGGCCGGTACCGCGCCTCCCAGGTTCCCGGGGGGCCCCCAAGACGCCCAAGGACAGCCCAAAACGACCCCAAGGAAACCCCATAACGTAAAAAACGGCTTGACACGTTCCCGCGCAGCCCGACACACCCTTCCGACGGCTCTCCAGGCCTCCAGGAGGCCTCCAGAACCCCCAGGGGGTCCGGAAGATCCCACACCCCTGAGGGGCCCGGCTAACAAAACCCGCGAGGCACAAACAAAAGACACCGCCGAACAGCGCCGAGGAATTGGCAAAACATAGAAATCCCGTAATTTGGGTTGTCCAAATTTGGCTCCCGATCTACTTTTGCACAACAGACCACAATTCAGACCACCCCATTCACCCCCCACAAAAAAAACCCAGGAAACCTTTGAGGGCCCCAAATCGTTGAATACCTAAAAGGAAATTAATGATTTCTGCGTTTCCGCACATCCCCTTCTATAAGATTCCGAGGCTTGCGCAGGGCCTCCAAGGGAGTCCCTGGACGCAAGAAGTGATTTACATTATATTACATGAGTTCGCCTATCAAACCTAGCTAGAACTTGAGCGCGCGCGAAGCGCGCGCGATGGTTCGAGTATATGTTCATGTGCGTTCATATATAGGGGGAGAGAAATATAGAGAGACACAAACAAATAGGAGAGAGAAGGAGAGAGACAGAAAGATCGAGAGAGACAGAGAGAGAGAGAGAGAACCAGAGAGACAGAAGGAGGGATGCTAATACACAAACCAGTACGGTGGACGAAAACTCAACAAACAGTAACAGGGATGGGGTAGGGGGAGGAAAGGGACGGGGGGAACAGAAGGCGAACTATGAGGAGGAGAAGGAGGAGGAGGAGGAGGAGGAGGAGGAGGAGGAGGAGGAGGAGGAGGAGGAGGAGGAGGAGGAGGGGGAGAGAGAGGAGGAGGCGGAGAGGAGAGGAGGATGAGGAGGAGGAGGAGGAGGAGGAGGAGGAGAGGAGGAGGGAGGAGAGGGAGGAGGGAGGAGGAGGAGGAGGAGGAGGAGGCAATGGGGGGGGGGAAAGGAGGACGAGGAGGAGGACGACGATGAGGAAGGGGAGCGAAGGGGGCGGGGGTGGGTGGAGGGGGGGTGGAGGGGGAGTATAATGACCAGGATTGCCTGCAGGCCTGGGATCAGTTCCTCTGCCGCGGCATGAAGTTTATCCACAGGGTGGGCCTCGCGCTGCTGCAGGAGGCCCCTGTCGGACGTGGGGGGAGTAGCGGGGGAGGTTGACGTGGATAACCATGATCGTGATGGTTTACGTGTTTTTGGTGATCAGCATGATGGTGCTGCTGCTGATAATGAAGATGTGGGCGACAGTAGAGTTGATGATTGTGATGATGGTTTCGGTGATTGTGGTGGTGATGTGGTGGTGATGAGGATGAGCACGCGGTTGTTAATGATGACAATATCCTTGACGCTGTTGCTGCTGATGATGCTGATGATGTGTAAGATTATGATGATGCTGATGATGGTGATGATGAACCTGCTGTGAGGATGAGGATGGTGGAGGGATTGCGAGGTTGGAGCTTGGAGGGAGGAGCAGGTGGAGAAGAAGGAGGAGGAAGAGGAGGAGGAGGAGGAGGAGGAGGAGGAGGAGGAGGAGGAGGAGGAGGAGGAGGAGGAGGGTGGAGAGAGGAGGAGACAGGACGATATATGAGCATGACGAACAGCTTGGAGGGAGGATATCAGTGAGGGGGAGATGCGAGGATGAGGGAGGAAGAGCAAATAGCAACGGGGGAGGATGCTTCACGTGCGTGGCGCCATCGCTGTGAGCGAGCGGGCAGCCGAGAGGCGGTTGGGTTCGGCCCGCCGGCGGGCGGGGGGGTTATCCACAGGCGCCTCAAACCCTCCCCTTAGCACCAACACCATGGAGCCCGAGGGCAAGGACCGCGTTGCTGGCGTCAAGGCGAGTGCCTGTCAGCCCCGAGCGGGCGGCCCACGGCGGGGCCAGAGAGCACGGGGCCTGCGGCAGGCCCGTGCTCACCAGCACGAAGCTCGCCGAGACAAGGGCGGGCCCCCCCAGGGCTCCCAGCGCGAAGGCCTGGTGCCTGAGCGGCGCCTGTGACGGCTTCTCCAGGGCGCCACTGATGCCCACAAGGCTCACCTGGCATAAGGCGGTGCCGAACTTCACGTGGACACCGCTGAGCTGAGCATGAAGTAGCTGGAATTACTCGACGCGGAGATCCCCGCACGTGCATGTCAAACTCTTGTCAGGTTTCGCTGAGGGGCTCTGTCTATGAGCATCCGGGTGTGAGAGCGAGTCTGCGTAGACGACAGGCGCAGTAATGACGACCACAGCGACGACCTCAGTGACGTCACTCCCTGCTCTGGACACCTTTCAGGAGAGACGAGGGGAACACAAGTGGAAGAGCGAGGTGGAGTTCCCCTCGCCGTTCTCTCCGCGGCAACTCAGGCAACCGCGCGTGGCGTTTCTACGCCCTTTGGCGTGCTACTCGCTGCGCTTGTTGGGAATTGGGCCCAAGTGCCACGATGGCTATCTCGCGGTAACCATCTGTGCGTGAGCCTTAGTGCGAGTAAATCTGTCCGTGGGTGATCTGAGTGCGAGCGAGTCAGAATGTGAGTGGATCCGCGTGCGATTTCGCCTGAGTGTGACAGTCAGTGTGAGTACGAGTGGGCCTGAGTATGCGTGAGTCTGAGTGCGAGCGAATGTACGTGCGAGCGGGTCTTGGTGTGAGTGACTCCGAGTGCGGGTGAGCTTGAGTGTGAGTGCGATGAACACAAGTAAGAGTATGAATGTGTACGGGTGAACCTGGGTGTGAGGTAGTTTTTTATGAGTGAGTCTGAAGGCTGGTGAGTGTGAGTGTGAGTGTGAGTGAGTCTGAATGTGAGTTGTCCTGGGTGTGAGTGAGTTTGGGTTTGGGCGAATCTGAGCATGAGCGAGTAAGTATATGTGAGTCGGAGTGTGAGCGAATCTAATCATGAACGAGTCTGAATGTGATGGGTGAGTCTAAGGGAAAAAGAGGTGCTAACGAGCAAGTCCGAGTGCGAATGAGTGCGCCCGAGTAAAACGGGAAGGAGGTGAGTGAGTGAGTGAGTGAGTGAGTGAGTGAGTGATTGATGGACTGGGTGAGTGAGAGTAGCACACAAGTGTAAAGAACAACCTGGGGGGCAGAAAACAAACGCACCGCTTGAGACTTCCCCTCCAGTCTAAACGCGAAACCTGAGAATGCCCCCGCCCTTGGCGGCTCCGCTTTGGGGTGCCCAAGTACCACGCTTGCTATATCGCGGGGAGCGCTGGGCCAAGAGCAGGAACAAAACAAACATCTAGGGGGGCAGGCGCAGGCGAACCGCCCGAGATATTGTCACACACTGGACGCGAACCTTGGGTTGTCCTCAGTTCTGGTGGCCCCCCCTTGAGGTGCCCAAGTACAACGCTTGTTTTATCGCGGTGAACACTGGGGCACACATAACTCTGGGGCGACATAAATAGTGAAACCGCCGGAGACATCCCCACAATCTGGACGCGAACCTTGGAGCCTTGGAGTGCCCCCCACCTCTGGCGCCCCCTCCTTCGGGTGCCCAAGTGCCACGCGTGCTTTATCGCGGTGAGCATTGGACCACCAGAAGAACATATGGGGTGCAGAAGCAGGCGCGCCGCCAGATACATCCTCACACAATGCTTTGAGAGCAAAAGATGCCGGGCAAGCAACCAGGCCGATACATCTCGACAATCTGGCGCCCTCTCCTCGGGGTGCCAAAGTGCCACGCTTGCTACATCGCCGTGATCATTTGACCACCAACAGAGGAATTCTTGACGTTTCGCCGTGGGGCTTCTTTTCCGATTCGGCTCTCAGTTCGGCAACCTCCTCATTGTGGTTTCTGTGCCGCTGTGAGGTGCCCTCCGCGCCGGTTTGGCCGCGGTGAGCTCCGTCCCGACCGCAGCCTAGCGTCGCTCGCATCTCTGTTTTCCCTTTTGCCGGTGGCGCAGCCTGCCCTTGCATGCCTGGCGTTCGACTCGTTTCGCGCGCCCGCGTACCAAAAAATATCACCACCACCAGCTGATCCAAAAACATATCGCCAGGCGAACGCGTTGCATTGGTCACGGAAGTGTAGAACAATGCAGTGTCACAACAGCTCTGGGAGCGTTTTTTCCCAACCATCCTGTGATGTTGGGTCTCGTTTTGAAAAGACAGCGCCCTGCGTTCCTTCCTTCACTCTGCCCCCTCCCCCTCCTCCCTCCTCCCATCCCTTGCCTCTGCTCGCCGCATGCCCGTCCCATTCTGGCACCCCCCTCGCACGGTTCGTGGCCCCATAGGTAGCTCCACCGAAGGCCCCATCTTGAGCGTCCGCATGGCACCGCCGCCCCATTCTGGCACACCCCTCACACGGTTCGTGGCCCCTCCCCCCACAGGGAGCTCCACCGAAGGCCCCGGCGGGAGCGTCTGCATGGCACCGCCGCTTCATTTCGGTACACCCCTCGCACGGTTCGTGGTCCCAAAAGGGACTCCACCGAAGGCCCCAGTGGGGGCGTCCGCATGGCACCGCCGCCCTTTGGCACACCCCTCGCACGGTTCGTGGCCTCAGAGGGAACTCCACCGAAAGCCCCAGCGGGAACGACTGCATGGCACCGCCGCCCCATGTCGGCACACCCATCATAAAGTTCGTGGCCCCAAAGGGAACTCCACCGAAGGCCCCAGCGGGAACGTCTGCATGGCACCGCCGCTATATTTTGGCACACCCATCACACGGTTCGCGGTCCCATAGATTCAACCGAATGCCCCAGCGGGAGCGTCCGCATGGCACCGCCGCCCCATTTTGGCACTCCCGTCACACGTTTCGTGGCCACCATAAGGAACTCCACCGAAAGCCCCTGCGGGAGCATCCGCATGGCACCGCCGCCCTTTGGCACACCCTCACACGGTTCGTGGCCCCCATAGGGAGCTCCACCGAAGGCCCCAGCGGGGGCGTCCGCATGGCACCGCCGCCCCATTTTGGCACACCCCTCACACGGTTCGTGGCCCCATACGAAACTCCACCGAAGGCCACTGCGGGAGCGTCCGCATGGCATCGCCGCCCCATTTCGGCTCACCCCTCACACGTTTCGTGGCCACCATAAGGAGCTGCACCGAAGGCCCCAGAGGGAGCGTCCGCATGGCACAGCCGCTTCATTTTGGCACACCCCTCACACGGTTCGTGGCCCCCATAGGGAGTTCCACCGAAGGCCCCAATGGGGGCGTCCGCATGGCAGCGCCGCCCCATTTTGGCACGCCCCTCATACGGTTCGTGACCCCACAGGGAATTCCACCGAAGGCTCCCGCGGGATCGTTCGCATGGCATCGCCGCCCCATTTCGACTCACCCCTCACACGTTTCGTGGCCACCATAAGGAGCTGCACCGAAGGCCCCAGTGGGGGCGTCTGCATGGCACCGCTGCCCCATGTCGGCGCACCCCTCACACGGTTCGTGGCCCCAGAGGGAGCTCCACCGAATGCCCAAGCGGGAGCGTCCGCATGGCACGGGCCGCGCACGGGGTTCGGGCGAAACAATGAAGACTCCCCGCTCGCCCGCGTCAGCTTTTCTCCCCATGCACGCCGCAGTTCTTTTTGCTGCCCCCCACTCCTTCGTCTCCTCTCCCTCGCGGTACTCGCAGCAGCATATGATTGGGTCCTTCATCAGGCAAATTTTTGGTTTCTTCTTCTCCGGAGGTGTCTTGAAGCCATCTTGGGGCTCTCTTGGGGTTCTCGCGGAGCCTCTTGGGGCATTCTTGAGGTCCTCTTGGGCCTCTCTTGGGGCCTTCTTGGGACCCTCTTGGGGCTCCTTGGGGGGGTTTGGGAGGCCTTGTGGGGCCATTGGCCCCATGATTCAAAAACAGGGGGTGTACAGTTCAAGTCCCCCCTGTGGGAGGCTCAATCATGGCGTCTTGAGACTCTCTTGGGGCGCTCTTGGGGCGCTCTTGGGCGCTCTTGGAGCCTTCTTGGGGCTCTCTTGGGCCCCTCGGGGCTCTCTTGGGCCGTCTTGGGGCCATCGTAAGGCCTCTAGAGCCCATCGGAAGCGAAAGGGCGAGAAGTCAAACCGCATTGTTATCCCTCTCGGTTTTTTGGATCCATTTTTGGCCTCTTGTGCGGGTCCTTGGAGGGCTCGGAGGGCACTTGAAACCGTCTTAGGACCGTCTTGACGCCTCTTTGATGTATGTCGGAGGCTATCTTGAGCCATCCTGAGGTATGTTGAGCAATTTTTGGGGCCGTCGTGGGCTCTCTGGCACCCTCTTGGAACCATCTTGGGCCATCTTGGACGCTCTGACCCTTCCCTCCCTCCCTCCCAGGCCCAGGGGGGGTATGGGGAAGGGTGAAGCTTCCCACCCGCCCGCAAGCCGTCTTGCTCACTCCCACCCGCCCTCCCAACACATACGTAACACCGGGGAGTCAGCATATCGCGTAAGAGCGCCGCAGACGCCACGGGTTCCAGATGCACCAGACCCTGGAGGCCCAAGCGTGCCAGGCGCGCCAGGTGCAGCACGTGCTCCACGTGCGCCCAGTGTTCCACGTGCTCCAGCCGCGCCACGTGCGTCAGCCACCGGGAACCAATGGGGGGTCTTGGACCCGGTTTTGGGCTTTCTAGACCATCGGAAACGGTACGGCGAAAAGGCAACAGCCATTGATGTGTCAAACCAGTCGGTCGACCACCTGCGCCCAGAAGGCAGGTGGGATCTGCTGGCACCCCAGCCGTCCCTGTAAAATACCAGTACAAAAAGGTCGCGGGGCGGCCGCGCATGCTCCAAATGTGGAGGCAGGGTGCGTTTTGGATTGTTTTCTGAAAGGGATGGTGTGGGGGGGGTGGCCCTCATGGGGTCGTGATGGTTCCGGGTTGGCCGCCGGCTGGGTTGGGGAAGGGGTGCATGTTTCCCCAATCAGAGCTTGCCTCTGTAGGGGTCCTAGCGGATTCATATGGTTAGGTTAGGTTTGTCGCCGATTTTCGCTGCACGCCCGGGTGCCCGGGTGCTCGGGGGTGCCCGGGGCCCAGGTGCCCGGGGGGTGCCCGGGTGCCCGGGGGTGCCCGGGGGTGCCCGGGGGTGCCCAGGGGTGCCCGGGGGTGCCCTATAGCCCTATAGCCCTAAGCCCTATAGCTCTATAGCCCTATAGCCCAATAGCCCAATAGCCCTCCGTGGGGTGCCCACCTGCTGCGCCTGCTACATCGTGGTGAGCATTGGACCACCAAAAGAAGACAAGTCTGGTGGACAGAAACAGGCAAACCGCCAGAGACATCCTGACAATGTGTTTTGAAAGCAGAGGATGTTGCGCACGCGAACGAGCAAACCACTTGAAACATCCCCAGAGTCGGGGCGCGAATCCTTGAATATCTCCACCACTGGCGCCCCCCCCCAGGAGTGCTGCTCCTCAGAATCCTCCTTGAATGCTCCACCACTGGCGCCTGAGACATCCTCAGAATCTGCTCCGAGAGCAGAGGGTGTTAGGCACGCAAACAGGCAAACCGCCAGCCCCAAATCTGGGCGCGAATCCTCGAGTGTCCCCACCCCTGGCGCCCCCTCCTTGGGGGGCCCAAGTGCTACGCGTGCCATATCGCGGTGCGCGTTGGACCACCAATGAGCATGCGTGAGTCTGAGCCTGAGTGTGAGAGGAGTATGAGTGTCATTTATTTTGAGTGTGAGTGAGTCCGAGAGTGAGTGGGCCTAAGTGTGAGTGAGGTGAAGTGTGAGCGAGTCTGAGTGTACTGTGTCTGAGTATGAGTGAGTCTGAGTGTGAGTGAGCCTGAATGTGAGTGAGTCAGAGTATGAGTGAGTCTGGGTGTGAATGAGTCTGGGTGTGAGTGAGTCTGAGTGTGAGCGAGTGTGAGTATGACTGAGTGTGAGTGGGACTGAGTGTGAGTGAGTCACTCTGGCTGAGGACGAGGAGGAAAAGGAAGAGATGAGGAGGAGGAGGGATGGTTTTCGGAGCCGTTTGAATAATTACGCGGCCGAGGAACCCCACATACTTATATTATGGCTGGAGTGATGATTGCTGAAGTGGCGCAAGTAAGAATGATGTTGGTGGCCGTTGCCACCCCCCGCGACCCCCCCTATTTTGTCCAGAAAGTGCCACGCTTGCTATGCCCTGGACGACCGCCGTGCCTAGCGGCCGCGGTGAGGGACCACCCCCTGCGCACCCCCTATGGTGTCGAGAAAGTGCCACACCTGCTATGCCCTGGACGACCGTCGTGCATAGCAGCCGCGGTGAGAGACCAACCCCTGCGCACCCCCTATGGTGTCGAGAAAGTGCCACACATGTTCTGCCCTGGACGACCGTCTCGAACAGCGGCCGCGCTCGGGGACCACCCCCTGCGCACCCCCCTATGGGATCGAGAAAGTGCCACGCCTACTATGCCCTGGGCGACCGTCTCGGATAGCGGCCGCGCTCAGGGACCACCCCCTGTGCACCCCCTATGGTGTCGAGAAAGTGCCACGTCTGCTATGCCCTGGCCGACCGTCTCGGATAGCGGCCGCGCTCAGGGACACCCCCCTGCGCACCCCCTAGGTGTCGAGAAAGTGCCACGCCTGCTCTGCCCTGGACGACAGGCGCGGGTAGGGGGACAACCCCGTGCGCACCCCCTATGGTGTCGAGAAACTGCCACGCCTGCTACGGCCTGGACGACCGGCGCGGATAGGGGGACCACCCCCTGCGCACCCCCAGGTGTCGAAACGCCACGCCTCTGCGGCCTGATCGACCCGCGGATAGGGGACCACCCCGTGCGCACCCACTATGGCGTCGACAAACTGCCACGCCTGCTACGGCCTGGACGACCGGCGCGGATAGGGGGACCACCCCCTGCGCACCCCCTCTGGTGTCGAGAAAGTGCCACGCCTGCTACGGCCTGGACGACCGGCGCGGATAGGGGGACCACCCCGTGCGCACCCCCTATGGTGTCGAGAAAATGCCACGCCTGCTACGGCCTGGACGACCGGCGCGGATAGGGGGACCACCCCGTGCGCACCCCCTATGGTACCGAGAAACTGCCACGCCTGCTACGGCCTGGACGACCGGCGCGGATAGGGGACCACCCCCTGCGCACCCCCTATGGTATCGAGAAAGTGCCACG